TAAGCTACAAAAAACTTTTTTGTTTCAAAAAACAGTTTCGAAAAAACTTTTGAAACTTTATTGCAAAGTCAATTTTGTTCGCAGCTTATATTTATGTATTTGTTTTGCTGGCTTTCCAGCATCTCACTGCGGTCCACCAGCATGCGCAGAAGTGAGAAAAATCGTTGCGAACAGTGGCCTATTTGTGCAGGATTATTTCAGGAATGGTGAGAGCTGGAGAGCTGACATGCTTTAGTTATATAGAACTCTGCTAGGACTGTTATGGAGACCATTTAAGCCTTTGAGCGACCACATGCAGAAAAAGCTTTTCCAAAAAGTTTGAAAAATCGATCTTTTTTGTTCCTAAAAATGCACCATTTTTCGAGTAAGTGCCTTCAAAGTCTTGTCGTTCTGCACAGGGTAGACCAAATCTTTGATTGCTGCGAAAATTGTTAGAGTAATGCCTAACACATCTTTTGGACCCATCATTCAGGCGCGGCGCCCAGCAGAAGCGACGCCAGCTGCGAAAAGGGTTGCAGTCAGAGGCAAGTTCGACAGCTGCAATTTCTGAGCGCAAATCGCAAAACTCGAGTGCAGCTGCGGGCCAGAAGTTAACAGGCTTCGCAATCAAATCACCCATGAGTGCAGAAGTCTTTGAATTGCACAAAAAATGGCAGTAGAAAGAAAAATTGTGAAATTTTCATGGTTGGATTCTTCCTCTTGATGTGCAGATCAAACACTCTTGGCATCGATACAAATCAGAAGCCGTATTGAAAACTTTAGGCTTCCCTCTACTGAATAAATTAAAAAACTTGGTGTCAAAGTCGACCTAGCGCCGAAAAAATGCGTTTGAAAATGAAATTTCCAAAAGTGTCAGGGAATTTTCTTCATAACCTAATATTTAAAGCACATTTCACTGTAAAACATCTCAACCAACATTTAGCTTTTACTCTGCCTTATCATTTACAAGTCCATCGCAGTTTTCCCGCAAGCTGGTGAGTTTGCTTCATAGAGATCATACACCGTTCTCAAGAAATATCCGTGAAATAAGGAACTCCAATCTTCTTGCTTTTATTGAAAAAATAAGCCTAGGCAATTGCGAGAGCACATCTAAATAGGACACTACCATTGGCGTTTTGAACTTTTTTTTAGAAAGCCGCCACGGAAGGTGCTCTTGGTAACTCAACGTTTCCAAAAAGAGGACATAGTTGGAACCATACCACTAAAATTTCTTCATAAGCTAATGCGACTTTCAAAAAGTAAGTCTCGATTCTTATTTGAAAGCCCATTGTTTCACACATTCGTTATGCAAAGTGTAAAATCCAAGAGTAAGAAAATCAAGAGTGTTAAAAGAGTTTCTTCCGTTGAAGGACCTCTCTTTCACCACCATACAAACGCGTAAATATGTTGTCGTTCATGAGTGAAATAATCAGCAGAAAATATGTGTGTGTTGATTACGCAAACTACTCCGAAATTTTTGCTATCTCCGACTTCTTCTCTATCTGCAAAAATAAAACTGATTACTATATCTTAATGCAACCATTCATCATCATTAGAATCTGCATTGAACAGTGTTGATCTATTTATTATTTTTGTATCTGCTATTGACACTGACCTCAAATTAGCGAAAGACTTTCTTGTTAGCACAGCCCAACGGTCAGTCAAAGGCACCTGAGCGCATTATGACGAAGCTATGTGAAGCCGATTATTTGGAATCACATAAGCATGTGACATTTCGGATTATCCTTGCTCGACATTCGATGTGAAGTCCTAGACATTTAAAAACATGCGAAATATCCTTTCAGCCTTTTCTGGATTACTTAGAAACTGCAATAATGTGAAGCAAGGCAAAGTCTCAGCACGGCGCTCAAATTTATGTCTTTCTCCAAGGAAACCGCGGATCATTCTTGCTTCAAGCATTCATGGTGCATTGAATTTCTCCTAGCCCCTGTCATCTCCAGCTATTCCTTACTAGTTCTTTCTTCAACAAGGAAAGGATTTCTAGTACAGATTACCTTTACTGCAAGTAGACGGCTTTCGGTTCAACCACAAACATTTCCATGTAATTTAATTTGTATTCGTGAAGGTGTAGGTCTTAAAAAAGGTCACTACAAGAATCTTTTATTGGTGTAAAGCAGCGATTGTGAGTGGATTTCCATCACATTAGTTTTGAAATTCACTTTTGAAAAATAGGCCGCATGTTGGATCCTCCATCCTCAAAATTTCTCCAGTTATCTTCGTCATCAGTTGGTTGTTTTTTGCCGTAAGTGTAAAAAAGAAGACTTTTTCTGCACCAGTTGGAAAGTGAACGAACGAATAGAATATCAAGTGCGCTACTGACGTTCGAAAAGCCTTCAACAGGTGTGCAAGTCATCAAGTTGCGCAAACAAAGCGTGAATGTCAAGCTTCGACAGAAGTTTTTTTTAGAATGCCTAACACACAAACGTATAGCATGACGAGGCAATTAGATTGATATCTTCCAAACTTCTACTTAGGCATTTTCAAAACCAACAATCAAGAGCTCAAGCTCCTTACAATCAAGAAGTCTTGAGTTTTCTCATAAAGTCACGAAGCCATAAATCAACCCCACCTCGTCATCACAGAGCAGAACATTCAACAAAGGCCCACTTTATTTCCTGCGATTTATCTAGATGAGTGCTTTATATCGCCTAGACACACGGAAGCTCGAAAGTTTGCTAGACCGCAAAGTTCAGCAATGTTTTCACAAGTTAAATAGGAAAGTGGGCATGACTTTGCTCCAAAACACAAGTAAAACAGTGTTTTTATTAGGTTGTCAAGAAAATAATGTCGGTTTTTATTTGCTTGCTTTAACAAAGCAACCATACTCAACCCAACAAATGGGTAAGGGTACTGTTCGATAGAGCAAAGCAAGCTCTACAAGATGGCACTCATGTCTTTGCGCCGTGCTCGATCCACGGAGAGTTCGAACTCAAATAAAGATTTCCAAATGCCTAAAAAATCGCAAAAAATCAGATCTTCGTCCAAATATTTTCTACGGACCTCCCACTCGCTCACATCATTACTATCGATATCTGATATCCATATGTGCGATTGCCGTATTTTTTCCTTGACTAGAAACTGAGAAAACGAAAATTTCCCTGATTTTCTCAAAGCAATGCTGAGCCGTTTTTGCATATGTGGTTCTATACTACAAGCCTAGGCAAGTATAACTGTAGATTTTCAGCCCATTCCAAGCGGTAGTTTTCGAAAAATAACGAATTCGGATTTTTTCGTTTCAGTTTCAGTGCTAAAATCGACATTTGTCGAAACGTACCGCTCGAAATAGGCTGAAAACCTACAGTTATTTAGAACTACATATGCAAAAACGGCTCAGCATTGCTTTGAGAAAATCAGGAAAATTTTCGTTTTCTCAGTTTCTAGTCAAGGAAAAAATACGGCAATCGCACATATGGATATCAGATATCGATAGTAATGATGTGAGCGAGTGGGAGGTCCGTAGAAAATATTTGGACGAAGATCTGATTTTTTGCGATTTTTTAGGCATTTGGAAATCTTTATTTGAGTTCGAACTCTCCGTGGATCGAGCACGGCGCAAAGACATGAGTGCCATCTTGTAGAGCTTGCTTTGCTCTATCGAACAGTACCCTTACCCATTTGTTGGCTTGAGTATGGTTGCTTTGTTAAAGCAAGCAAATAAAAACCGACATTATTTTCTTGACAACCTAATATTTTGGAGATTGTCTACCAATTGACAGTGTGTATTTAGAAAGGGAATAACATTTATCTATTGGTCTACTGCAGGTGTAAGATTTTTTGATTGCAATATTGATATCCATATCCTATGTAGACTGATTGGATTTACAAGGCTTTTTCACCTCCTGATTTCTAGAGAATAGCACCCTGTTTGCTCATCATCAGGCCTTACTATCATATTTCATGCTAGTAGCAAGGTGAACCCTTCATTCCTATTTAGGCGAGACTCGAGAAATATCGCAGTATCTGAAGTTCCTTACTTCCTTGCCGCATTACCTAAGCTGTCCTGCCTCCTTCGAGTTTATGAAGTTTATGGTTGGCAAATCACCAACTTTATTTTTTAAATGCAACATCTCTCAAAATAATAAAAGAATGTTCACACTTGAGCAATGTTACGAGCCTTGGGCTGTCCAGCACAGGCACATGCCGAAATTTTGAAAAATTGCCTGTGTGAAATTTGCAGTCCTTCGTAAAAGAGTCGCCAAGTCTGTCAAAATAGTTTCAAAGAAAGTGGATGTATAGCTTTGAATATTGATCTAGGGTGGACGTCTTTTTAGTCTGTTTCCCAAAACTGCTGAAAGTGTATCTACTCATTATACGACTTCTATCGCTCATTGGATTTGACTACTATTCAAATTGAACCAACTCTTCAAACTTCTATGCAATTTTGCATTAACGGCGTCTCTCATATAGAGAAAATGTTATATCGATACTAATTCAAGAAAGAATGGATTTAGGATTTGTTTTGAGCAAAGTGGAAGGGAAATTTGAAGAAGAGAATCGACCAAAAATTGTTCGAGATAAAAAGAGCATGCTCTACTCATTCTATTTTTACTTCGCTCGCGTTCGCTTTAGCTGACAAGCTTTATGCATAAAACTTTTCTTAATCCTTTTGCTTTTATCCAGATAATGTCTTCTAATATGCAGCAGTTACTTGAAGTTCACTTAAATGTGCGCTGTTCTAGAAAAGTGCATTCTTGGCCTTAAAGCTTTCTTCATAAAAGATGAATAATTGCTTTATTAACGTTTGGTTCTTGAATTCTTTCACTGATTTGCTATCGATGCATTACCATTTCGGCTCTCAAAACTTTCAATTTCTTGAGAACAGAAAATTACATGCGTTTCTCCATTTCCTCAAGTATCGACGATGAAAGTGTATAGGTTTTTTCTCATAGAACTCATTTTAGAGGATATCTGCAACATCGGTTTTGCCCGAAAGTCAAAGGTCTACTCCAATTACGCCAAATTTGAAGCACTAAATTCTTCGCCAAGTACAACCGTCACAAATGCTGTGGAAAGAACTAAGCAGCTCACAAATGTGGAGCTTATCGGACTACCACAACATGGATGAGGTAATTCGCTGTACCAACGAAGCAATGATGAGACGGCAGGTGCAAGACAATCAGGTGGAAATGTCTGCAGCAAAACGGGAACACCGATTTATGAACCAACCACAATCGTCGTTTTACAAAAGCAGGAAAAGACTAAAACAACTCCAACTTCAAATTCCTGACAAAGTGGTGAGTCTTAGATGGTGCCTGGTTTAGACAAGATTTGAGCTTTCAAATTTCGCGCTCTAGAGCTAAAGATTTGTCTTGTGTGTGGAGATGTAGAACCAATTTCGTGTGCACAGATCTCTTTTGAGTTTTTCGTAAATTGGAGTATTGGAGTAAATTATGCAAATTGGAGTATGGAAAATGGCATTTTCACGTACTCTGGCCAAAATTACTTTGAGCAAACAAAATCCTCTCTTAATTGTTGTATACTAGGTGTAGTGCGCAGCACTTCACCCAAATCTTGTAGGGTTAACCTGCCTATAAATAAAAACCCGCAAAAAGCTTGTTTTTTCTTCATAATAATTTTTCCATAAGCTTGTTTTTCGTCTTTATAGTAAATTTTGCATGAAATACACGAAAATTGCTGCTCTGTCTTTGATGGAAGCTTTTTTGAAGCTCTTTCGATGTGATATGAAAGTGAACGATTTACCTTATGTAGAGGAAAGAAAAGAACGTTAGGAGCGACGCTGTTGGCGATCAATGTTTGGGCAAAGATAAATTCAAAGCAGAGGGATTTGGCCAGCAATAATGAGAAAAGCTTTTTAAAATATCTTATGTACGGGAAGACTTATGTCCATAGCTTTGGGGAGATACCATTATATTGAAGTAAAAAAGAAATAAAGCTTTGAAGAAGCGACCTTGTTCACAGAATTTCAGATGAAAGAAAACTTTTGGCTGTTTGGTTGTCGTTTCAATCTCAACGATCTCAAAGCAGTCATCATTTAGTTTCAGTTGTCCACTGATAGTGAAATTACATGAATAGAATATATTCACCGCACTTAGACTTAAGCACACTCTGCAGCTTTCCAAGACGCAGCAGGATTAACCAAAAAAAGTTCTTTAAGTTTGCAAATCGCAATTACTTCACCGAAGATTGTCAATGTAGAATCATTTATGTGCAGCTTTGCTCAATCTAATTGCAGACGAACAGCCTCGTCATTTAGGATCACTTAGGACAAAAAAATGTCTCAAATAAAAGTCCTCTCCAGTTGAATCTAACTTTGCAATGAACAACTCTAACATCTCTGATTGTTGCATTATTTGACGTAGACGTGAAAGAAAACTTATCTGAACCGAAGAACATTACAAAGTTTCTTCAGCTGACATCTGAAACTCTTGCTTTCGTCATTCAGTTTCCTCTCTCCATGCATTTGAGCGATCAAAACGCTTGATTTGTATATACTCGTACGCAGGGGCGGCGTGGCGTTATACTACAAAGACCTCGCCGCCAAAGCTCGCCGCCGTAGTCGGCACGCGCGCCGAGCTGGCTTACTGTATCCCGCACCCATTTTGCACCGGTGCACCTGGGCCATGAGGCAATCGCGTGAATGCAGCCTCGTCAGCTTTGTCGCGCGACGTCGCGCGCGATGTCGCGAATTTTACAAAAAGTGACATAAAAATACTCGGAAAAAAATCCTTCCCTCAGATTTTAGCGTACGATATCGCCCGTCGCACCGCATAAAGTGAAAATTTCAGAAAAACGTGTTGATTTCCTGTTTTTTTTATTCATGTTCATTTGAAGTAAAATCAAGGAAAGAAAATCTGGCATCAGCTACCTGCTTTTGTCCTAATAAGTTAAGTGCGCAGGTCATCATCGCCGCATTATTAACCTCAGCTTGCAGTCTAGTCCACGGGTCACAGCTTGCAGTGTTAAGTATCTATACCATGGCAAAAACAAACATGAAAAAAAAGAAAGTGAAGAAACACTAGGGAGTTTCGAAACGAATCTTTTTTTTATTTGTAAATATAAACGAACATGAATCAAATAAAGAACAGGAAATCAATAAGTTTTCCTGAAATTATCACTTTATGTGGTGCGACGGACGATATCGCACGTTAAAATTTAAAAGAAGAATTTTTTTCTGAGTTTTTTACGTCACTTTTTTGTGAAATTCGAGACACGCGCGCGACGTCGCACCGCGACAAAGCTGACGAGGCTGCATTCGCGCGATTGCCTCATGGCTCAAGCGCACCGGTGCAAAATGGGTGCGGGATACAATAAGCCAGCTCGGCGCGCGTGTCGACTATGGCGGCGAGATCTTTGTAGTATAACGCACGTCCTCCGTACGCAGGTGTGGGATTTGGACTTCTTGACAGCATGATAGACATAGGTTCGCTATAAAAGAATTAGCTAACTTGTAGGAAATTCGAATATGAAATACTGCAAAACAGTTAGAAAATTGCATAGTTGTAAACAATGCAGACCTGTCATTTTCATTACTGTGGCAAATGGCTTGAAGCGTTTCCGGAATTATTTTTTAACTCAGATAAAGGTAGTTGGATGTTGATATTTTACATTCACAGTGAATGGTCTGTTGTAATCGCTTTAACTTATGAAGAATTCTAACTGTCTAATTGCTATTATTACAACATTGAGGGGGATACCAATTAGGTTAAGCGATCTCCCAATAACTAGAGCATAAATTGTCTGTCATTGTTATTGAACGAACAATGCTTTACAGTTGCAACCTTTTCCAAAGGTTTTTCGCGTCTTTCTGAGGGAATTCATCCTTTGCATGGTCAAAACCACTTCAGAACTCTTCAAGAGATAGTAAATAGCATTTTTTGGGCACTGTGTTAAGGCTGTCTTCACGGCTTCTTATAAATGTATGTGGCCAAAGTTATTCGAAACATTGTGACCCTCATTTTGGACCTTCTGAATAGACATTGAGAAATGCAGATCTCTGAAACAAATATGGATTTGACATATGAGATTCATAGAAAGGCTAAAAGCAACGCTACGCGCTCAGAAATCTCATGTCCATTTTAGGTGGTGTCTGGGAATCAATCCGAGATTGTTTGTAACTATAGCCCTCAATACGTTAGTAAATAATTCAGGACAATAGATTGATATGAGTTATGGTGAAAACCGCAGGAATGCAACAGTGGCGGACCGAGGGGGGGGGGGGGGGAGGCGTCGCGCAGTTTTTGAAAATTACTTATATGGGTTATAAAATTGCGCATGTGACTTATTTATTCTTGTAAACAATTAAAATAATTTTTGAAGATTTTCGAAATCAAATTAGCCTTGTGAAATTTTTTTTTCGGGGAGTGGTTTTATGGGTTGCGAACCCGCAAGAATTTTTTCGGAGTGTGTGGCTAATGCCAAGCACCTTCATGAAAAAAAATCCCCCCCCCCCCGGACGGAAACTGGGATCGCCATTGGAATGCATATATGGGAGAGGGGAGGGGTTTATGAGCTGGTTCATTCTATATCTGACAAAATCCGCATCACATTTGTTCGCAACAAGGATTCACGATTGGATAACTGGACATTGGATAGCTCTACTTTTGGTTCCATGCATTGCACTTGTCTAGCCTACGCAGTCTTTTTCTCTTGTAACTGAACAATCAAATGTTTTACGGATTGAATTTGACACGTTTACTTTCACAACGCATTCACATACAACCTCACCACTTTCGCTAGGGTAAGGCAGAAACCTGAAAATGTCAAGTTAGCTTTATTAGGAGTGACAACAATTTTTTATTCAAGTATCGCTATCTGTGGTCTTGTCTATGAACATGTGGCGCTAATCAAATTGCAAAATATTTTTATTTTGTGGTCCATCTCAGAAAACTGGTTTTTGTGCTTTGTGAGGTAAGCGGCCCTATCCGAGCAATTTCATTGTTTATCTGCAAGTTCTGGCAATCCATGCTTTATCTTCGCACACTTAAGCATACCAGTTTCATTTCTCGTGACAGCTACCCGGGATCAAGGTGCCTTGTAAAAAATGCACAGTCCTGAGTGAGCTTTTGGCTCCCTATTCAATCAGAAAGAACTGCTGTGGAAATTCCAGTTGGCGTCTTCATAGGTATCCATAAATCATACGACAAACGCCTAAGCAATCCCGTCGAGTTTCTTTGCATTTGTCTCTGATACCTCGCTTTTTCTTTCATATCCGAGCTTTCCGATATCTTCACTGACCTTTACCTCTCGTCAGTTGTGATGTCGCAAAGAACCTTTTGTCATAATCTTCCAGGACCTTATGTGCTTATTCGACGCTTAATCACTTAGTCCAACACGGAGCATATGACTGAAGTGAGCATGAGTGCGCTTGTCTTATACAGATGACTGCTGACAGGCCTTTCATATGAAGTCTGCAAAATAATATGTCATGCTTGGGTTGCTTTAATTAGTTATTTCTTTTCAAGCTGAATTGACTGTTGCATTTAGTTTCTTCGTTTCTATCGCATTCATCAGCTAACTGTGCAAGGAAGTGTGAAGAGCTGAGATGTGGAGAGTTCAGGAATTTCTAAGAGCTTTGTCTCCTCATTTCAATCTTTAATGTGTGCCAAAAGAATTTTGAATTAATAACGAAACACCTTTTGGTTTTTTGCCAGTACAGAAAGTGGTTAGAAAGCAATGCACTTCGTAACATGTAATATTCATTGTAAATATTTTGGATATATTGGCAAGTAAGTGGCACATCAACAATGGCTCAATCTTACAAACCATAAATACACTCAGCTGAATCAGTGTATTTGAAATTGCGTGATTTGTTCGTATTTGTAAGTAATTAGGTTATTTGTACAAACTAGGCTTTCGCGAAAAAATTCCCAATCTTGTAGATATCTTTGAAGAAGGGAGGAACACTCTCGCACACCCTTTCCCCACATAGAAATTGCGCTTTATGCGAAATATCGGAAAAGTTTATAATCTGCAACTTATGGTTCGAAAACTGCTGAAGGCAATGTTGCTTGGTTACTTTTTTTGCTACGAAAAAAATTGACAAAGTAAGAGGAATCTTATTCAGTCTGTCACTTCATGCTGAGAAATTTGCAAACTCGGTGTAGAGATGGTGTAAAATGATGCTCGTAATTTCTATCAAAGAATATCTTGCAGTCAGAAAGCTCGAGCTCAGGAGCTGTTGCTAAAAAATTTTAATACCTCTATGTCACCATATATCCTTATCTTACCATGGATCTCTTGGGTTTTTTAAAAATAGCTTGAGGACGTTGATCGG